TCAGAAATTCTGGGAAGGGAAATGTGAGCACTGTGCCTCCCTGCAGTGCGATGCTAACTCTGCCTTCCCTGCTCCTTGGCATTCTTCAGCCAGGGACTTCTGTGCACTGAGGGCTGCCCTGGGGGCCTTCCACCTATACCAAAACCTTACCCAGACCACTAAGAGTGAACAGAAAATATACAAAAGAGTACGGTCACACAGTGTCAGTGGAGATCAAATCCAACATCCCAACAGCTGTTCCTGCTCCCAGGACACTGTGGCCCCCAGGCTTCCTGGACACTGCAGCGATGACACGGCAACTGCGTGTCATTGTTAACGCTCATTCCAGGGAACCTGACAGAGTAAGGAGTTGGAATTAGCCTTTCTGTTAGCAAGTCTGGGCTGCCAACAGTAACGTCTGGCGCTGGGAAGTGACAACTGAGAGTTTAAGGGACAGGTTTGCCTGCACTACAACACGAGGAATTGCATTTCTAACCCCCAGCTATATAATCACTCTCCTGCCAAGTAGAATGAGCTTTCAGCCACCTCAGAGTGCTTCAAACTAACAAGCACAGGTAGCATGAGCAGCAGCACAGTGGTAGCAAGAGTCTGATCCGTCTGCCTTGGATCCATACAGTATTATTTATTTTCTGAAACACTTTCACAGCTGTGTCATTAACACCATGTTTCTGATTTTACATGTAAGCTGCTTTTTAAAGATATTTTGGAGCATAAATTCTGCACAAACTACTCCATATATGTTTTTTACTTTGAAAAGCTTCCCCCTCTGCCACACTACATATTATTGAATAGGAATCACAGATTACCTAGTTTAGAATCATTGTTAACAGTTTAATGTTCAAAATTTCCATCTTTTATTCCTTCACAACTATGGAAGAAATAATCTCACGTATTAATGGGAGTTTGTCTTAATAAGAAAGCATTTAAACAAGCCAACAATAATAAGCTTAATGAAGGCCATTATCCTGCCTTTTGTCAATATTTTCATAGCGACAAATGGATCAAACACAAGATACTTTTAAGGCTTTCTTCTCCCTCTTTGTAAATCATAAATACTTTGGTATATTTAATTTCAAAATGAGTTTCCTGTGGATCAGGCTAACACAACGGATTAAGAAAACCTTCCCAAACCCTGCTGTATCTTAGATGGAAGAGTACACAAAATGTTCTTTTGCTCTCTCCCCCTGTTCATTTTCCAACTGTTCCTCTTTCCCCAAGGACCAAGATACCTGTGCTAATCAAAAAAAGGTTCTTAGTCCTGTTCTGAGCCTTCAAAACACTGTAACACATAGTCTTTCTAAATAAATGAAGAATTTCAGACTATATTCAGAGGAAGATACTCAAATGCCTAAATATTAGCTACACCATACAGATACAGCCGGCATATTCAGAGACAGAAAATTCCCCCCTGCAAGATGAAAAGCAAAGGGAATACCTGTGTTTTGTGCCAGTCTGCCCAGGTACTACTTGGTGTCTGTTTTTGAGAAAAGGGTTCAAAACATGTTTGAAGACTCAATGGAGTGTTACTCTCAAATCTGTAGGAGTTTTAAACCTTCCTAAGCAAGGTCAGGAGACACTTTTGCCTGGTGAAAAGTATTTGTAAGACTTGACCAACTTTTCCATGCAAGGGCATTGGCCAGAGTCAGAAAATATTCCTCTGCTATACTTGCTTATCTTTTCTGCTGTCCTTCTGTCCGTCCTGGTTCCAGGTGCCCAAGGCCCCCAGTGAAATGCAGAGCACAGCAGCTCACTGTTGGAGCACACGGACCAGCCCTCGGTCCCTGGCCAGGCCGGGGCTCGTGCCCTGCCCCAGCACCCCGTAAGTGCTCTTCTGGACAGAGCTGCAGGAGAACTGCAGGCCTGCTCCAGCCTGGGGCACAAGTGAGGGCAGCAGTGGCAGGGAGAGCCCTGTGCCTGGGGCAGTGCCCCGGGCAGAGGGGTCCTGGCCAAACTGCCTCCTTCCTCCTGCAGCTGGGTCAGAGAGTGGACTCCTACAACCAGAAGTGACAGAATGAGCTTTCTGTTTGATAAATAACCACCCCTTCCAGCTGGCCCAGGCAGCTGGGATGTCCCTCCATGGAAGCATCCTGGGATCACCACCTCCTTAGGTGTCTGGTGCCCTGCTTGGCCCTCATCCAAACAAAGTGTCCCCTCTAAACATTTTGCAAGAGTGGTAGAAGTAGTGACAAATTACTCACAAATGGCATTCTGAGCTGTAACCAACGTCTTTGGTGACAGAGGCAGTGTGAACACAACACAAGGAATGCTAACCCTCCGAGCAGCAACAGCCCCCTTTTGGTGCAGCTCCAACAGATTGTGAATTTCAGCTTTAGCATGGATGTGGGTTTGGTTACTTACAATGTATTTGAAACAACTGAAATGGGGGTTTTCTGTGTTTATTTTGGAGCTGGCTATTTTTAAGGTCACAGTACCTGCCAAGGGAGGAAACGGTGTCTCTGAGGTACTGGGAATTAAACAGAGGAAAGAAAAAGGCATAGAGAAAGTAGCTGCTTTAGAGAGAACTCAAATATTTTGTTTCCTTCCTTGTTCAGTCTGTAGTCAAAAAAGAACTTCACAGAAAATGTTAACTCATGTTATTTTAAAAAATGAACATAATTCCAAATTTCACAAGAATTATTCTTTAACTCCCAGAACGCCTTCTGATAAACTGCAATATAAAGGGACATTCCCCCCCAGTGTCAGAGGCTAGGCTGACCTCTCCCCTGTCTGTGGTGACATGCAGTGCCACCTACGTCAGGCCAAACATTTCGTGCAGGCAGTTTTCGGACTTGGAAAGATGAACGAGGAGGTGCAGGGAAGGCAGCAAATGTTTCAAGAGCCTTGGAAACCCCACTCAAGACAGCAATCCCACACTGCAGAGGGCATACATCACACTGCAACCACAGACTTTTGTGCCAGGAACCAGAGGAAACCAGTGCCAAAGAGATGGTGTGGGAAAAGACGGGAGCAAAGCCAACGGAGGAATTCCACCCTAGGGAAGAGAACCCACTGTCACCAGCCCAAAGGCTGCCCTGGTCCTGGTCAGGAGGTCCCGTGACATGTCAGCACAGCAGAGCTGAACTCTGTGACTGACACCAGGAATTCACTCCGGAGCCTTAATTCTTAATAAATGCAAAGAAGGATCAAAGCCAGCAGCTATATGAAAAGAGGCTTCTTTCATAACTTAATTGGTCATTTGCAAAATACCAATGTTATTTATTTAAGTAACTATGACCTTTTCTGATGCACTGGCAACGTGAATGCTCATGTGTGGGTGTCAGAAGAAATCATGATAATAAAATACTAATACCTTGCATCAGGAGTTGCCCAGTTAACTGTGCTGGGATAGCACGCCTACAGAAAAGGAGCTGCACTGCACCTTGCTGAGGCAAGGTTACAGCTGCTTCCAACCCTGCCCCAGGCTCTGCCTCTGCAGAAGAGAAATGCATTTGGAGCCATTTCTCAGATGTCTTTTTCTCATGCAAGTACCATGAGAAATACACTGAGACTGTGGGAATCCCAAAAGCACGTACAGGCAGAGAACAGCACGTGCACACCAGTCCAGAGGACATGTTATGTCAGTGAGAAGTGGAACAGTTTGGCTGGAACAATATCAAGAAGGCCAAAGGAAGACACTTCCATGCCTTACCATGGTACAACACTGGACATTATCTGCTCCTTATGAAGACGTCAGTAGACGGATATAATGATTAAGGGAACGTCTCTAGTCTGTACTTATTACTTGGGCCAAAGTGGGATACAGAATACAAGGGAAGTGCGGCAGTTCTTGAATAGCAGATTATAAGAAACTCTGGGGAGAAAAGAGGGGATGGGGAGGTATATACAAGAGTTCTAGGAGTGGAAAAATAAGGAAAAATTTATTCAAGTTACTCCAAGACTGTTAGTTTGCTCAAAAAGGGCACACTCCGTCTCACACCCAGGTACTGCAGTGAGGATACACTGCCATTTCAGTTATATTTCTCAGATTTGTTTCTCAAATATGTTTCTAAAAATGGGACAGGAGCCTGTGACAATATAAAATAATTTTCTCTTCAGAAATTTTCTTTTAGATGCAAGTGCAATTTACCTTTGGGTGATATCTACCCGTTCCTATGCAGCCTCACCTGAGTAGGGTACACACCTGTGTCCTACTTTCCAGCGACACTGAAGAGCTACACAGCTTTTTATTTTTATCACCTGCACAGATATTCTGTAACACACATTAAGGCAAGAAAGCAAAAAGAGATCAGAACTAGGACTGGTGTGAGTGGAAACTGTGTAACCTCTGTGTCCCATGTAAACACGTTAGCAGGCTTTAACAAAGCCAGGCAACGCTGTGAGCTGCACTCGCCAACTAGAGAGTCCTCGAGGTACGTAAGAGCCACACAGGTAAATGACAGCACCAGCACAGTTCAGAACTAACAGTATACAGCCATGTGGTTACCACACTAAAAAACCAGCTTTTAAGGGTTCAGGAAGGAGATTAAAATCTGTAATGCATATTTAGATAGTGAATACACAACAATTATATCTGTGTTTTGGGACCTGTTCTGTTTAAATTCTGCTGCAATCAATACATATGGAAAGCAATGCCAGACTCCTCAAACACATGATGTTCTTCAGTGGAGCCTGAACATGAGACTATTCCTCCTGACATGCTGAGGGGATGCTTACCAAGAAAGTAGTGAATAATTAACTCTGAAAGAAAGTGGAAGTGGCACAGATAGGAAGAGCACTGTGCTACACTTGAGCAAAGCCAGAATGCCACGCCGAGGGACTGTGGAGTGTTCCATGAGTTTGGGCTGTGGGAGGGTGTTCTAACTGAGCATACCTGAAGGGAGGTAGTGGGTTTGGTCTGCTAGCCTTCTGAAGGAATAAACACTTCCCAAAATGTCAACAGCCTACTGTGTTTTTAGTAACGTTTCTTAAAAGTACATTTGAGCTACAAACAGAAAAAAATATCACTTTCTCAACTTCTTAATGCATATTAGGTGACTTACCAAAATACTTTTTTTGAGTCACACTACTTCAACTCTCCTTGTTGGCTTTGACATCGTATCTGGAACAGCCAGTGGTTAACAGACTCTGGTTTCCATGTTATCAGTGAATCTGAAATAAAGAACAAAATTTTGTTCAGAATTACTTTTAATCTCCATACATCAACAAACACAAGCACTGTCAAACTTCAGGGTTTTATTACACTGTGCTTTGTTATCTGGCAACAATCCCAAATTGCCCCTCAGGACTGTTCAAAGCTATACCACAGTTATTGAGTGCATTTGAGATGACAAAAATCTGCAAAGTCTCATTGTGGATGTAATAATGTATCTGTAACTACTGCAAGCATCCCAGCAACATAAGCAAAGATACACCATCTTCCTCTGCTAGAAAGTTGTTCAGAAAGTAGTTTTAGCTTCAAGAAACTAGAACTGCCCTTATTAAGCCGGACACATGATAACCATGGTCTTCTCTGTCACCCTCAGGTCTGATATCACAAGTACCCAATACCTGAAAAAGGTTGCAAATTGTCACTGGTAAAATATCTTCTAATTCAGAAGGGAAGCACACCCATGATGGAATCTGAACTCTGCTTTATTGCTTTTAGAGCTTCCTGAAGTACCGACTGCCCTGTCAGTAAGGAAGCACCAGCTTTTTAACAGGCTCCAGCCAACAGCAGCTACTGTGCTCTTCACATCTGCTCTCCCCTTGCCCAAGGCAGAGTTCCTTCCAAAGGGGTTCTGAGGGGGCTTTAGTAGCCAGATGGGGGTTGGTCTCTTCTCCCAAGCAAGAAGTGACAGGACAAGAGCAAACGGCCTCGAGCTGTGCCAGGAGAGGTTCAGGTTGGATACAAGGAACAATTTCTTCACTGGAAGGATTGCCAAGCATTGGAACAGGCTGCCCAGGGCACTGAAAGGATTTAAAGGTGTGTAGATGTGGTACTTGGGGATGTGTTTCAGTGGTAGCCTCGGCAGTGTTTGGTTAACAGTTCCACTGGATGATCTTAGGGGTCTTTTCCAACCTAAAGAATTCCAAAATTCCTTAACAACAGAGCAACAAAATGTAACCTCCCTTATATTCCAGCATTCGTAATGTCATAAAGTAGTATCAATAAGATACTCTTAAATAGTAGCTGGTCCAATTACTCAGCAAAACATCAGAAAAAACATGTTCTGATATAGCTTAAAACATATTAAAATCATTGAAAATTTGCCTGGTTCTATCCTTCAAGTCAAAGGGAGCAAACCAAGAGGATGAGTTCTCAGGTATAATTCCTGATGCAGCTTTCAGGTACTGAGCAGGCTGGTACCTGGTATTCCTCAAAGCATTGCACTGAGAATGCACAGATCAATGAAAGAATCACACAACGAGATGTGTGTGTGCCTCAGTAGGCTTATCCTTTCTTCCACCTTCTGTCTTTTCCTTATACGTTTCCTGAAGCAGTATCTTTATACTTTTATATTCCTGTATTTCTACAGATAATAACCAAAACAGCTACACACCCCCTTTCCACTGCAACCAAATTGTTCTAAAATAAACCTGCCATATACATATATATATATATGTATATATATGTATATATATATATATGAAAACACCGGTCATTCAGTGCCTTTTCACTCTCAACTGCCCCATGGGATCTCACTTACCCTCACCTTTGGGGTGGGTCATAACATTTCACTCCCCAAAATTATCTTTCCTGTCATCAGTACAGATTAGGTTCCCAAGTCTTCTTACACATACAATGTCAAATTGAACTGATCTAAATCCATTTTCTTCTCTTCATACATTTTTTTCTACAATGGATGTATATATACATATTTGTGTAAATCTGTATTCCAAACCTCATTCTATTATTTTAAATAATAAATACTAGTTTTAAAAGACAAGGTAAAATAAAATAAAATACAGTAAATAACAACTTCTTAAATTATAAATAATACATTAAAAAGAAAATCAATACTCAGCTTCCACCGTCAAACCTATCACTTCGAACTGCTCTGCTTCTATAAGGAAATCAAAGTTTTATGCCACCAGTACTGAGAACCCAATAGGAGCCTGATCCTTTGCACCGACAATCCCTTCCTCTTCCTCAAATCTCCAAGTCAGCTCCGTCTTGGTTCTCTCCTTCCCATGCCATCTGTGCACTAAAGATTCCTTTCTGCTTTCCTTGGCCCATTATAACACATTTAACTATGCACATACATATCCATAAAATAAATAACACGTTCCACATTTTTATCCTCTCAAATATGAATTAAGGAATTTTCTTGGTGACAGTCTGCTCTTTTGTCTGTGCATTACCAGCAAAAGAATAACAATGTTCAATGGATTTCAGTTGAGAATTAACAAGAGGAATGAAAAATATTTTATGCAGTTCCCTTTCTTCATATGCACAACTAAACCAGGCGTGTCTCTCTGTACTCATGCAGACAGACACAGTTTTCATACAGTTATAAATAATCACTGAGCATATCAGCACACTAAAAATTAGTGGGGAACAAACACAGAAAAAGCATTTCTGGGTTTGTTTGTTTATCACTGTTTTCTATCTCAAGTCAACTGGTTTGACATTGCTGAAAGAAACCTTGTCCAACAACAGCAGGAAAAACAAAAGAAGCCTTGGATTATTTTCTTCCATAAACTAAAAGCAAACCAAAAGAGGGCTCAATGACACTAGAAACATGCATCAGACTTTCCTGGGGGGGAAAGCAGCAAGCTAAGCATATCCCTTTGGCTCTCCCATTCTGTTAATTCTTCACCAGTGCGTGTACCTACAGAAGACTTCAGCTGAATTCCAGTTCAATCTCTCCCTTGACTATCCTGGAGACACTCCATTTAAACATGTTCTCATTTCCTTCATGTCACGTTATGTGTTTCTTCCCTGGAAGTGCAGCGTGTTTTCCTGAGAGGGTGATACAGGTAACATTTAATATCTAATTGTAAAATAATAGTAGCATTTATCAACCCTGAGTTCCACTGGCACTACTAATTCTCACAACACATACTCATGTAACTGGGGCCACAATCTCTGGGACTCCAAAAACCATTTTCACCTTGAGCAGCAGGAAAGGAGGAAAGGCAAGAGAAACCCATTTGCATGGAGACCAGTGACTAAACCAAATCTCTGTCCTGGTTCTGACAGATGCCTTAGAACTTACTCTCCCCAAAACGCAGTGCTTGTGCAGTCACAAGGAGGCAAGAAAAGCAAATGATCCATAAAACATACCTGGATTTCCCTTTCAACAGCAGCTCATTTTTCATTTGCAGTGTTGCACTGAGCATTCATTAATTCAAGAGCAGAACAGTGGATGAACCGCCAAGTCTAAGAGGAAGTCTTTAGTTTCAATTTCCTTTGTGTAATCACTGATAAAAATATCCTCGGAGTAGACACTTAACTAGACACTGACAGATCTGCATCGAGCTACAAGGATGTAGATGAAATATGTAAACTAAATTATGTACTAATACACACCACAAATGCAAGTATAACCCTAAAAATCAGAAGTTCTGTCTAAAATGAATAGAATTTCTTTTTACAAAAAGATCCCAATCTTTGCCATTGGAATACACCACTTTCACCTGAAGTACCACTGCATTTTCTAGACTTCTTGAATCAAGTGGCTGCCTTACCACGTGCACTCTAACAAATATTATTTCAGCAAGTGTCACTGGAAGAGTCCTCCTGTCACACTCCTGGGTTAAACAGCTCACTGGAGCCCTGACACCCAAGGAAAAGACTTAAGAAAGCCTTCCTATAGTTGAACACGTATTTGCTTCAAATATTAATGCCATGCTCCAGAATAGTGTGACATGTAAGAAAACTGAAAACATTCTGGCTCTGTGGAAACACTATGCCTGCGTTCTACACTTTTTAATTTTATTTTGCTTTTTGTTTTAATTATCAAAGCATATAGAAGTTCAAGTATTGAAGGTTCTAAGCATAACTTCATTAAAATTCTAAGTTCATTTATCTAAGGAGAGAAAAATGAGAAAACTGAAAAACAACTGCAAAATATTTTCAGTAATCAAAATGAAGTAACTGACACTAAGTATTTTGTTTTAATATGCAATTTTAATATAACAGCTACTTAGGGTGGCATTTTAGAGCTCACATAAATATTTTAACATTCTAAATTGCATCTTTACTGAACTGTACTTAATGGCATTCATTATTATAATTTTCACTGAAACAGAAACCTGGTAAACACACATTTAATCTCAGTACCTTAATGCAGTAGCAGAGCTGTACCTTTGCCTGGACTCTGTGTCCGTCTGCACTGTGCCCAGGACTGTTTGCAATGGAACTGACTCCCCAAGCTATAAATGCCCAGTAAGACACAGCACTGGCTGCAGGACTGAACTGGTTCCGGAAGGAGGTGGCACAACCTGAACTGTCACCTCCAGCTCCATTTCTTGGTGACACGGAGGCAGACTCCCACAAAGAGCTGGGAAGTTATATTAAGATATTGTGTGATGTGCTGCCAGGGTCTTTAACAGGTTTCCAGAGTACAAAGGTCATAGATTGCTTATTTATAGATCAGGAGGATACTGTACAAACCATGTGGTTTTAGGAGCTTGTGCTTCTAACCTAAATGATTCTGTGAAACAATGCAATGTACATTGCATTGTGAGAAATGGCATTAATTGAAAGGTGTCCTCTTTAACTAATCCATGGTCTTGATTCAACAAGAAAATCAAGAGACATGCCTAAATCTTGCTCAGCTGGGGCAGGGCTTACCTTGCTGTATGGTTTTCAAGAAATTTAGAAGAGACTTCCTTCTCTTTTAGACAGACTGAGCAGGGTCACAAAGAGAATTCCTCTTATTATGTGTTTGTGGAGCATTTAGCACAGCTGTATCTTTTGTCTTGACACATAAAATTACTTTCTTTTCTGCATTTGACAGTTGGACTTGATAATCCTAGAGGCTTTTTCCAACCTAAAGGATTCCATGATTTGTGTAGCAGCTGTATGAGGTGTTGGAAGTATAACCCCATAGAGTCCATCCTTGTCAGCCACAACGTGCCTCACTTAACCACGAAGGGCTTGGTTCAGATTTGATTCTCACCCCAGTCCTGCCAGTCTCTTGGTCACATCATTCCTGCCTTGCCTCTGCTCTCCTGGGACCAGGCAGTGGAGTGCTAATGTTTGCCAGACAGCTGTTGTGTGGCTTAATTACCTCCACAAAGGGAAACAGAATCCCTGCAAATTCTCCTCCAAGGGTGTGAAATGCACACCTGTCTGCCAGTACCATCTGCAAATCAATCGCTATTCTGTGTACATACACATACAGGCTGTTCCCTAACAAATAAACACTTTTCCCCCTTTTCAGTTAAAGAAAGGACTAAAGTAGCCCCCAGTCCTGTAGTAAACCGTCCCTCCCTTCCCACTCTTCAGGTATTAACAGGCTAGAAAACGAAAGCATGTTGTGCCTCCCTCTCCAGACACTATTTTTATTCGAACACTTCTGATTTTCAAACCTGACAGAGCCTTTAATAGGACATAATTGGCAAGCTGAATGTCAGTCCCAAGAGTCAGAAAAACAGTCTATTTTAACCTGTCTGAAATGCAGCAAACAGCTTCAACAACGAAAATGAGCAGACAGAATTACTCCAGTATTCTGTGCTAAGACACTCCTACTGTATCAGTCCAAACCCCGGGTATACACTCGACACTTCTCCTTTACTGTCTGCCTACTGAGAGAACTCATGAAAACTCAGAAACGTGTGTTGTTTGGCACTGGGTTAAATGCAAGCATCCAGGTTTTTCTCCTGCACTGACACAGATTTTCCAAACAGCTTCTCTTGTGTTCCAGCGCAGCGACACCACTAGGTCAGACTGACAAGCGAGCACAGCATCAGCGAGTTCCTGCCCCCGTTCTCAGCCTCAGGGCCAGTACAGCTGAGCAGGTCTGAGTCCAGCCTTCTGTCCTGCAGTTTAAATAGGACTTCACAATTTTTGACATGGTGACCCTGATCTTTCAGTGCCCCATTATGTCATATTAGAAAAAAAAAAGGTGTATTTGTCTTCTCCCAAGCTTTATCTTTCCATAAGGAATTTAGGATATACGTGGATCAAATACTGTACTATACAGGGCTTGTCTTGAATTTTAACCTGGAACTCTACCATAAGACTCATTTAGGAATACCACTGTTATGTAATGCAATGTTATACATCATATTTACTATAATATCTTGTCAAAAATAAGATTTGTCATTTAAGACAGCTCAGTTTCAGGGGACTAAAATGTGCAAAGTCTGTTTGCATTAAGAAACCTTCTCAAAATGAAATCTAGTAAGGAAAAACTCCCACAAGCAGCAAGACTCTACAGTGATTTAGTTAAAATCAGTCTCTCAATATCATGATCTTACATGTTTCTTTGGCTGGTCATTTGGTTTTACAGGAGTAATCTTATCAGTCTACAAAACTTGGTGAGTAAATAGTTATTTTAATACTTTTCTCTTTCCATTGTTTTCCATTTGAAGCTCTCAGTGTGTTTTTATTTCATAGAAGATGCTTCAAAAGGGCAACCATGTCTGAGGAAAGAGCAGCTCAGGCCATTGCAAGTTACTAATTTCCAGCTCTGTGCTGTTCCCATTCTGCAGGACAGAGAAATCTGCTTGCTCCTTCCATCCCAGGACCTGTGGATCCCGGGACAGGCAGAGGCCCCCTGCGATCTCTAGAACACGATTCCTGTCCTACTGTTAAGACCGAAAGAGTTTAAGAACAGCCTCACCTTAAGCACACGGCCATGTCCCAACTCCTTAGCCACAGGTGCGTTCATAGAATACTAGTTTTACCAGGAAAGAAAAGGCACCATCCAAGTCTTGGAAGGTGGAAAATTTGACAATTTAACTCTTAAAGTCTTTCCAATCTCCTTTGTCTATTTAAGTAGCACTTAAATATTTATTAGCCCACCCTAAGGAGATCAATATGGTGTCTCAACAATTAACAGACTATTTATGGACTTTCTATCTTCTTTAAATGTCAGGGGTTTTCATGCACATACTCTCTCTTCCCACTTTTGTCTACGACTCATCCCTCTTATCACTGGAAAGCTGAAAAATACGGGAACACATTGATCTCAATAAGCTCCCAATTAGAATCGGTGTTCTACCCAAAATGAACAACATCCAACACAGAACAGTGAAGTCAAAAGTGGATGGTGTTTATCGAGCAAATAAAAACCTCCACTGTAAGTGTTGCAGCAGCATTAAACTTTAGAAACAGAGGTACTTCCAGAGTAACACGCAGACTCAGGACCCCAGCACACAGTGAGTCTGAAATGCACAGTGGAGTTAAATACATGCTTAAATGCTTCAGGAACTGGAACCCATCAGGAGTTTGTCTGCTGTTACCAAATATGCCCACACTTATAACTGATATGGCTGCTAAGACTCAATTTCTCCTGAAGCACAGACCTTTTAGGGTGGTAGTTATTTCATTTACACGGTGGCGGCCTGGTCCTGAATTACTTAACTGTGCTCTATCTACCACGCTAATCTAACGTCAAAAAGTGAATTATATTTCAAAAATACAACCTCAGTAATCCTGTTCCAGCTTAGCTGTCAGATTCCATAAAGCACCCTTCCATCTCCAGGCAGCACGAGGCCGTTTCCAAGCACACAGAAGGGCAGTGTTCCCTCAGGAACTCCTCTGAGGGCTGAGGGGCCATGGGGCCTGCCCGGCCCGGCACAGAGACCCCTCAGCTCCCGGCTGGGTGTGCCTGGGGACACCGAGAGCTCACCGAGCCCACACCAGGCACACACTGCCCGGCTCTCACACACCTCACAGGGCCGAGGGCAGGGCCAGCAGAGCCGCCCCACGGCCCACCCGCTGCAGGACTCACACACCACCCTCACGGTGCCGGGTCCCAGCTCTTCCCACAGGAACTGCCACTCCTCGCCCGCTGGTGCTGGGTGAGGGCAGCGAGAGCTAAACAAAAGGTAAAATATTACACACCGAGGCTTGACCAAAGCAAAACTGCTCTACTGATTACCTCCAGTTCTACCAATCGGTCACCAAGTTTAACGACTTTTAACTCAATCTGACCACTCGCACAGATGACCCCTAAGTCAAGTCACAGAGCAAAAGTGATCAAATCTGTGAGAAACACTCCTGTGTTTCTTCCGAATTCCTATCTATTCCTGTCAGAATCAGACGTAAGAAGAAACTCCACCAGAAAAGTTTTCCTCACGAGGCTGCCAATTGATTCTGCAGACTCAGCTAACCAACAGACTCCTGTGCATTTCTGCAAGCAGATCCTCCCAATCTCTTTGCACAGGATACGAGAACAAAATTAGAGAAGGGGCAGGGGCTGCAACTACAGTAACACAAACTTCACAGATCTGTACGTGCTTTGTGAGCAACCAAGGGCTTATTTTCATCATTTAGGTAGAAATTTTAAGATACTGATTCTTGAGATGGATTATAATTTTGTCAACTGAAATTTCCCCAAAACAGACTTGGCAATCAATTCCACCATTTATAATCCACAAGCGATGGCTTGGTAGCACAGAGGATGCAGTTACTTGGAAACATGCTTTCAGCTTTGAAATCTGAAAGCCAGATTTTAACATTTTCAGAAAATTGCTGCATTGTTTAGGTTGAAGGTGAAAATTCTGCCTCCTGTCTTTATTTTAAGCAATGCAGCAACTTCTTTAAACTGCTGAAAACTGCCTTGCATTTCCAAAATTGAAAGCATGCTGGTGTGATTTTAGCTAGGTGGGATTACCATCACGGAGCAAAGTCTCCACGTACTGTTGGAGGTTCGGGGTCGGCCTGACTGTTGTTTTCTTTGTGTTTTGAAGTGCAAGGGGAGAAAAATCAGGCCCCTCTGAGGTTTGGGATTTAACCCATCTTTATATCATACTAATACTGATTTTCCTGTGGCTTAAATCAACCCTCCTACTATCCACAAGAGGTTACTGGGATGTGTCCTGTGAGCCCCCTCCTTTCCCCCAGCACAGCTCTGAGTGGTGATCTCATTCTCCACTCGTATATCTTCTCATTCCATCCGTGGGCCAATAACTCATAAATCTGTCCCTTCTTTCATGGCTTGTCTCATTTCATCTCATCCTGTCTCATGTCTCTTCTTGGGTGTTTTGTTGTCAGTTATGAGTCACTATAACTCAGAGTTAATTCACATTTGAAACCCTCTTCCCTCTCCACATTACTGTTCAATACATGCAACTTAGGTCCCATGAATGCCCTGTCTCCTGAAAAAAAATTAAAAAAAAGGAAAAAAAAAACCCCAATTCCTATTTTTGAACATTATCAAGGAAAGCAAACTTACAGAATACAAGTTCAGGAGCTTCCAAAATGAAGGCTGTCAATAACTTTTTTTTATTCCCTTGCAGTATCTTCATTGCACTTAGATTTTACAGCTGACACTCAAACCACCACCACTGTTCATTTTGCAACAGGAACTGCTCATGCCTGGGCTGTGTAACAGGTGCAAAGCTGTAGTTTTGAAACAAAGGCATCCAGACTTCACCATCAACTTAAGCAGACATCCCAGTCACCACTCAGGGCAGAATGGATGTTCAAATCAAGGAACAGGCACTCCTGCACTTTCTGGAGCCATTGCCTTGGTTACCAGACCCAGTAAACATCACATTCTCTATTGGGTTTTTGATACTAATTCTTCCTATGCTCAATGCAGAGTGTTTTGGAACGAGAAGGACCATGGTTCTGAGAGTTTTGCAAATTTTTCCAATTAGGAAAAATTCCTTTTAAAACGCCATCATCTTCTAGAAATACCAACTGTGGTAATATACTGATTTCAAATTTTTCAAGTCCCAAAGTTAAACAAAATTTGTGAAATGGAAGTATTCCTTCTATGAAAACCAAGCCAAATTAAAATCTGCATCTCAAATACAGCAACACTTGTAAGCAGCTTTGTTATATTACAATTATAATTTATTTAAAAAACAGTGTATCAGGTTGTGTTAGAAACATGAAAGGTTTGCAACAAGCATTAAGTGCAATTTTTTCCCTAAGAAGGAAAAAAACCTTCCTTTCTAAAATAGCTTGTTACTCACAGTTTCTCAAACCACATATCGTCTGAAATTTCTAAGAGGAAAATTTGACTTCTAGAGTTTTCTTATTTTGAGGACCGATCCCAACCTGAAATTCAAAGTAAAGTCTATCTTCCTCAAAACGATGAGTTTTGAGAACATCAAGGTCAGTAACTCGTATCTAAAATATGGGATGTTTGTTTGCCCACCACCTTTGGGTACAGAATTAGTTCATAATTTCAGGTTATAGAATGTTCTCAGGCACTATTCTTCCTATCTATTGTCAATAAAATTCACACAAGGCTCATTTCTCCTCTCCTTGAGTGTTAACTCTTCTGAAGGAACTACGTAACTGGGTAGAAAACCACTTCTTAATCTAGAGTGTACTTATTTTCAAAAGGCTTGAAAGTGTAAATGCCTTAGATACAATTAATCTTCTTACAGGAAAGCAGTATCACTCATCAAAGTTGAACAGAAACCTTTCCTAAATCTACATGAGGAGATTCTGACAGCAGTTTCCTGTTCTTCCAAAGAATACTGTAGCTCCAAAGTGAGACTGAGGATGTTCTGAAGGCAAACGATCTGACCCAAGATTCAAAAACACTTAGAAGGAAAAAACAAGAATTTTCACCACTGGACTTTACTTTTTGGGATGCCACTGTGAGCAACTACTTGCACTGGAGGTCCAATGTTGGTAAAAAAAAAAAAAAAGCCACTGAAGACAAAACACTGAAAAGTACTAACAGTGCTACACCATCAGTCGCTGGTGCCACGTGTTACATCTGCATTATGTGCAGCAAAACCTGGTGCTCCGGGATTTAATACAAATTTTGCATGACTTATCTGAGGTTCACTCAGATGAAGCAAACTGCATGAAGTCACAGGAACATTTTGGTAGCAGAATCTGAAAGAGTACATCAACACTGTCTGTGAGCGCACTGCCAAAACCACGGGAATGCACACATAATAAAATATCAACTTGAATAAATATCTGGAAGCTGATACACTGTGTAAGCTCAGGAATTAAAATAATATTCAGAGTGACTTTGCTGTTTACTCATATTTGCTTTTCAGCCAGTCACATATGGTGTAGCATTTAAGGAAAGTGATTTGTCACATGTCAGTGACATAACCATGAAATATAAACCCTTAGGAAGTACCTTTTGTGGGTTTGTTTAAAATACTTAATTCATGAACAACAGTTTGCAATGTTAATTGCAACAGCTTAATCACTGCAATGAGATAACATTGCAATGACTGTCCCAGTAAAAGTTTTTCTCTGCCCTGGTACTGACTGAGGGACTCTGCAAGCACAACTCTCACCTTTATGCCCCTCAGTAGCCCATTTGCCTCCCCAGCTGATCAGCTGCAAAGGGACCAAGCTGTGTACAGCCAACACTTACATCATCATACAGACACGTACGGAATTCCTTGTTGCTGTTGTCACTTTGCACATCCACAGCACGTCTGTCACCACCCGCTCACGAGGAGTGTGGAAAGGGAATCACCCAAGTGTTCTCCTTCCTCCAGAGACACAGAACACAGGGTCAACAGGCCTTGCTACGTTTTCCTCTACATACCCCTAAAACAAAAATCTATTTCCCTATAATCTGGATTGTTCCTGCTGTCCAACTAGAAAGTCTCATTTTGGCACTGGGGAGAACTGTAAACATCTGGTCTTCTCTCAGCTGTATGCAGGACATACACACCACTTAAAGCTCTCTAAAATCCTTGAGGCCTGGCAAGTGGTACATGGGATGTCCTGGCATCCCTGGGAACCAAAATGCCTGCACTGTAAGCCTAACCCAGGACTCAGTGCTTGAGGTCACTGGGACTTCTGTAGTGCCTTAGCCCATCAGCAGAGGAGAGACTGCTCCCTTTGCTCCAGTGCGTGCCAGAGAAGAAACCTCTTTGCCCCCCACTGCCCAGATGGCCATCGGTGCTCTGGGGAGTAGCACACGGGAGGGAACCTTCAGCAGCATCCATGTGTGTTGAACCTGGAGCTACAACAGCCACGGCACCTTTTCAAACCTGGCTCCCTCTTTAAGTTGCAGGGGGCATTCTCACTAAACAACTTTCATCCTTGCCCTGACTTTTTATTTTTTTACAGCATTTTCTCATCACTTTGCATGAGTTAACAATAACATTTTCCTTGCAGTGCAGGAACTGCAGGGCACACCACATGTGTACCAATTGCTGGTGTAGGATATGAAAGTGCAAATACCTGAACACCTTGCAGGTTAGTCTCCAATGGTTCCTCCTTGTGTGTTTTGAGTTCATTTTGCCAGATCACTGCTTTGTCTTTTTAAGGGCAGCCTGAGACAGATGTGCTGTAACAGCAGAAGAAAAAGCTATCTGAGTGTGAATTTAGCCAGAAAACGCAGAATAAACAGAGTAAAAGCCAAAACATCATAAAATAAACATTTAAGTACCGTTACCCCCTACAGTCTGTTTCATTGATAAATGTGACACACCACGCAGAGCAGACGAACAAGTAACAGCAAACAAACCATGTCATTTCATAGGAAAGGATGGGAAATATTTGCACTGTTCCTTTAAGCAGTTTTGAACTTTCTGAACCGAACCGCCCTCAAGACTGCTGGCAGTGCTCAGAGCTTTCCTTCTTCACCAAGCCCTCTCCTCCTCCCCTTCTTTAGCTGAACCAGAAGAGCACACTAGCTCCAGCCCATCTCCTTTAGGATACACACACACCTCACAGGCTGGGGCCGACTCACCCAGAGCGTGCACCCTGTAGGAGAGCTACACTCCAAACCTTGGGAAAACTTTCCCTCTCTTGGTTACTCAGGAACTGGGAACAAACCATTTGTAGTTCACCAAAGCCACATAAACGTATATGCTTGCTTTGAATAGAGTGATGCTGTGCCAGTGCATACAAGCAGAGAATTTGGGGAAATGTGTGTGAAATATCTTTAAATTCATCAGAATAAACACCAGAGAATCATTTTCTCTCTAGGCCAGTAAGAAAATGTGTCTTCTATCTTTGTGGAAGAGTCAGTTCACTGACATTAATGTGGAGGTAAATCAACATAAGTGCACAAATATTCCAACTTCACATAGATCTGGAGAGAACAGAAATGTTACAGAACGTCTGAAGTGTTCTTCAGTTCTTCTTCAGTACTGATCCTTCACACCTCCAACAAGGAAATCCAGTGCCAGTAGCAGGAGACCAACATGCTCATCCCCAGTTTCAAATGCTTCTGGTTGGTAACTTTTGCCTTTTTGCTAACATTAGGCTCTACACATTCATTTCAAAGAGGTTATAAAATGCACCTAACTGTGCATGTAAATTACTTTCCATAAAGGTATTCTTTAATTAAGTAGTGCTGAGCTTGGGTCTATTATGAATATTGATGCAAGACTTACATTTTCAAAACGTAGGGAAATGTGATTTTAGAAGATGCAATCTTCCATAACAGAAATTTCTGAAGATTTTGGGTCCCTCTGAAGGTTGCTGAAGCTGATCACCCAAAATCACTAATTATTTCCCAATCTTAAGGTGAGGTATATTGTGAAAAGTGATGGAGTGGCCACTATTTGGAAGATATAGGACGATTTACACATCAGTAACATCCCATGGAGTTCAAAACCATGTTCTTTGCTGGTAGCCAAATCCTTCCAGTAGCAGCAAGAATATAATCTCCCCAAAGTAAACTGTAAGGCTAGAGTAGAAAATGATAGATAAAGTAAACTGTGCACTGAGTAACTGCAGGGAGTCTAAAGGTGAGGATCTAATAATTAGTCTTATCTCTATCAAGGTGCAACAGGAATAAGCTGAGAAGTGCAAGAATGCCTGAGAAGGCCCCAGGGCTCTTCACAGCTACAGAGAAGCCTCACTGCTCTGGAGAATTTTAAGGCTGATCTCATGTGGAGAGAACATGAGACATTCCTTTTTCCTGCCACGCCACTGATGTGGGTGTCTGCAAGGTACACTTCTCCACACATTTCCCCTCACACAAGCCCCAGTGATGCCACAGGTTCACTGCTAGGTTCCTTTTTTCAGGGCTGCACAGGCACAGGGAGCAGCAGGTGCACAGAGAACAGGGACAGCCAAACTCCTGCTGCCTTGTGGCAGGGAAACCCAAGGGAAAACTCACTTTAAAGAGAGACTTGTTTTCCTTGGAGTTCTTCCATTTCAACCTCTGCTTTGCACAAGACTTACTTAGGATGCTCTAGTTCACTGACTTTGAGATATCCTGAAGATTATTACACATTCAAACAGTAGCTGGACACTTCATCTTCCAAACTGAAGGGAACACCCCAGACAAGGTAGTCCCTCCTTCCCTGTGCTCTAACACACACTCCAACAGAACAGTAGCAGGTCTGAGTGCAGTCACACACTTCTTTCTCTGCACCATGTGTGAGAGCCTGAGCAACAGCTTTACAGGACACTTCCTCCAAAACCAAAGCAGTTTCTCTCTGAATTGTGCAAATGAAATCGCATGAAATTCATTCATTTTACATTTCCTTCGTACAATGAACTCACAGCTTTCTTCTGCTCTGGCAGAAATTGCATCACAGGTCTTTTGCAAATTCCCACTGACAGCAAGTGGAATCTTGTCACTGGCTTCAAGGAGCGCTGGAACAGCTTTTGTGTTATTTTAAAGTGTGGCAAACAGTATCCTTTTCCTTGGGCAGCATAAAATATTGCACTTGGCATATAAAAAATTGTTTAACTAAGAAAAAGGACCCCAAACTTCTCTTTTGAATGCTGCAGCCCTTTCAATGCCTGCAGCCTTTCAGGGAGCTGCACTACTTTAATGGAGCAGCAGTGAAAGAGAAACTGGAAAAACCCCATAAGTGAAATATGAGCAAATGAGCAAATCTGCATCCCACAGATTTGCAGCAGGCAGACCTCTGCTCAGGGTTACAAAGTGTGAGCACTTGGCAGTTTCACAGAGTTCAAACATGTTGCCCATAGCTGGGTCAAGTGAGTGGTTGCGTCACATGATTTTTTTTTTTCAAGTTTTCTAATGCTCTCACAAGGTCCAAAACCTTCCTTTTGCAGTTTCTGATAGACAAAATAGAAACAGCAAAAGGAAGTAAATGGGAAGTTTGGGTTACCTTACCGCCTCCTTTCTCAAGCAGAAGACAAATTTATGGTTCTTACTTCATGATTAAGTTTTATTACCTGGGATATGGTTGAGGCTTTCAAGGCTGACTTAATTCAACCTGACATCAACTGACAAAGTAAATTCCTACCTTAATTTACATAGCCTGCAAAAAAGTATTACTGAAGCACACAGACAGAACCAAATACCTTTATGTGTATCATGATCTGCACAAACACCCCTTTGCAGCCTGTGAGCCCACCTCACAATTCTGAATATCCAACAGGGCACGGCACCACTGCTATTTGTACCAGACTGGGGACGAGATCCACAAGAAATACCATTTAAATAGAAATTCTGCCCCATACAGTGAAAGTCTGCCATCCTGTGTCCCATCTGCCTTCCCAGTGACCCTGTAGCAGCAACCTCACGCAGGTAAATCCCCGAGGAGCTTGTTCCAGGAAGGGCCTCCAACGCTGCATGTGGAGAAGGCAGATGGGACTTGCAGCAAGCCACAGCTTGATCATCCTGAGAAGATGCCACTCCTTAGCCAGCCCCATTCCTTTAACACATGGAAAAGGGGCTCCAGCCCCTCAAACAGAGGAACAGCTCAGCCTCACGTGGGACTTCCAATGGCTGAAACAAAAAAGGTATTTAAAGGCGGTGAAAAAATCCAATGCTACATGACTGACTTCCAAGACTGACTGGCACAGCCTTTGTTAGTGCTCAATGCAGTGAGGATGATGTGAAAAAGCCAAACCATGTTTAGAATCTGACTGAAGGGTTAAAGTTAGGAGACGTTTCTTACACTAACCCAGTCTAGTTCAATGACACTGTCCCTATCAAATCCATGCTGCTATTTTCATTTCCACAGTGGAACTGCACTACCAAGCATACTGATTTGAGCTGGCCACAAAGAAAATGTACTAGTAAAAATGATCCCGAAATAATTTTAGCAATGTAAAATTCCTATGCTGCTCTGGCATGTTCCATCAAGAAACAGTTCACAAGATTCTGCCTTGAAGGTTACACTTATTACTGACATGTACAGAAACCAGCACTTAGGATGAACCATCTGTATTTTTAATATAGGGGATTGAGGCATGGAAAAAGAAAAATGTCCATCCTCTCCTATGAAACAGTGCAAAAGGCTATCCAAAATAAATAAATGATTTGTGAACTACTATACATTGGGTTTTTATTTTCAGTTAAATGTTTCTCTCCTAATCCTTTTAGGACTAGAATATCATTAGTCTAATTGAAGGTTATGTGCCTTTATTTCCTCCTTCCCCCTCAGAGCAAGGCCACACCAATCAGCGTGTGCTCATCCCGCCAATCAGTCTCTCAGAGAGGCTGGATGCACCGAGCTCCTGCAATCACCTACACTGCTCAGGAGAATTAGCACAACACAGGTCTAATTAGAAACTAAACACTGTGTTATCTGCAATGATTTGGAGATGGAGTAAGCTGCTGCATGTTTTAGGAACCTCTTTTGCTGCACAGTAGTTCATGATAACACCCACCTCACAGCTCATTAGCAAATCAAAATATTATACTGTATAAATAATACTTTGTTCTTTTCCATTTTACAGAAGCCCCAGGTCTCAGAAGCCTCCATTACCAAGCACACATGACTTAGTTATATTGGAACACTGTAGGAAATGGAAAGCAGCCCTGGCTGTCCAAAACCAGCAAAAGAGAAGCCAGTATATTGTATACTTTGGTCTGCTCTCTATAGAAGTAGCCCCAACCAGCCTCAAGACATTTTACACTGAAATACATTTTGGCAGAACACAAAGAAACTCCCTCCTGCGTGACGCTGAACATGGACTGTCAGTCCTCCTGCACGGGACTGATCCCTCCCTCTCGCTCTTCTCTGCAGAAACCCTAAATCCACTACTGCAACCTTCAGCCAGAACCCCACACGAGAGCAGGGGGAACCTGGCAAAGAACTGAAGGGGGAGATGTAAATGTTTACCAGCACGAGGAGGATGTGAAGGGCTGTGCAGCTGTTCCACTGCACGGCTTCTCGAGGGGGAACTGGGGAGCACAGACAGACCAGTTCTCACTTCCAGCTGAGATAAACATTTCCAAGGCACTCGTTTCAAACAGGAAGGCACAGCCTCGGGACGAGAGCTCACCCTTCACTGAGCCCCCAGCCCTGCTGCTCTGCCTCAGCCCTCCAGGAGGGGTGCACACTGTGCCACTGCTGTTATTACAGCTGCTGGATGCACAGGCAAGGGGGAAGGTGCAATTTTATGGCCGTGTGGAAAAATCTTTCAAATGCTGGCGGGAGGATGTCTGACGATGCCAGACTGGTGCAGCAAAACATCATATGGAGATAAAGCACCAGAGAAACTGTCCATGTGCCGACGAATGAGGATTCAGGCAAACAATTCTAAACCATACACGCATACTTGGTGTCATTACGCTGCTATTACAGATGCCTACCCTGCTTTTCTTCTTTTAAAAGGGTGCAGTTCTGACGCTTTATCACTAGCTTTTAGCTGGAAGCTAGAAAAGACACCAACAATGACACTGGAAGACTGATCTACAGAGAAAATCCACGGATTTTGAAAAGCCAAGATCTAGCTGTAGCTTGAAAGGTGAAATACACTTGTTTGTACCACATTCCCTGAGTTTTCCATACAGATGTACACGCGCAGACAATTTTTTACTTGGAAAACTATCAGATATCACTTTGTATTACTTGGCAAGTATATATTTATAGCAATTTCTCATAAAAATTGAATTAGGTCAAAGGCTGAAAGGTGACAAGTTTGGACTTCTGTATCCCAACCTGAGACACTTTATGGGTGGATCTCCTGCACAGAGCTGAACGCTTAGAAATCTTTGGAAGGGGTATCAGCAAGGCCTCAAGTTTGGTTCTCTGACACTCTCATTGCCAGAATTACTAGTAATTTTAAAACCTTGGCTCGCAATCTTTAAAAAAAAAAAATCATAATATCCATACAGTTCATGATAGAATCTGATCACTCTGCAGAAAATACACATATATTAAGGGCAAAATTCTTCCCCGTTGTGTAACTGGCTTCCCATAATTAAAAGCCTTAAGTGGCCCCTCCCTCTGACTTAAGTTATCATTGCTTTCCATCAGGAGAAGACTGAGGAACCCTTCAAGAGATTTAGTTCAGGCTTAGAAAACAATCAGTTCCAACATAACCTGCAGAGAACCAAAGCTCTGGAACGTGCAATTCTGAAAGCTTAAGAACATTTTTAAGGAAGTATCAAACACGACCATGATTTGAAAATAAAAACTAACCGTACTAAACTAGAAAAGGTCTTTTGCATTGTTTAATAACCTGGAAAAGTACTAATCTGTATTATATTTTTTAAAACTGCAAATACTCTCTACTGAACAGCAAGTGAACTGTTTCTGATGAGACAGATCCGCCGTGCTTTGTGAGGTTCTGTGATTTTCACACAGGCCACTCACATAAACGTGATTTTTACTAGAAAGCTTTTGTCCATTCTGGAGTACTTTTACTGCCATTTGGTTTTCCTCAATAATAACATGTGCAAAACATGTATTTCCCATGACTGTTTTGGACACTGAAACTGGGATTGCAATCCATATCCATAACACACTGCACTGGAACCTCAGAGCCAGAAGCATACATTAACTTGAAAACCAGAACTAGTGCTACTCTCCCATCAGATCAAAACCAAATAATCAGAAACATGCTTTAGAGTACCAGGTTGGCACCTCACTGAAAGCTGGGGTGCAGATTTTAACTTCAAACAAAACTCAATTTTACATAATTCTAAGCAGGCACAGAATTACCTGGAAGCTTCTGCTGATTTTCAGTTGACTTCCAACTGAACACATGCAAGAAGTGAAACGACCAGGCTGGCAATATCCTACCTACGAACTGTTGAAGAGAGTAGATTTTTTCACATGGTTCTACTAAGGGAAAAAAATGAAGACAAGAATCCAAACTTAAAGCAACATTCAACTGCTGTGAGCCTATTTGTAACCATTAGGACAGCAAACATATCAGCATTAATTTATGATTAAAAATTTAGGAAAAAGTAAGGTGAAAAGAAATAAAGAAAAAGACTTTGGGAAACACATAAGCCACAAAGTTTGACTTACTCTAATTAAAGAATGGTGTTGGCTGGCATTGCCAAGCTCTGCAGTGGCATGTTTGATTTTGCTGTAAAATTTTGATTTTACTTTTGTTTCATGAAATGTACTGTCCTACATTAAAAGGTTTGGGTTTTTTTCATAAGAGATTAATTTTTTATTTACGCGCAGATGAAAATGATTTAACTTGAGATGGATTAGTCTCGTGAACAGAGTCCAGAGACATTTAAAAAAGGGGCTCTCTTTTGTGCAGGAAACTAGTAAAGTCCATTTGCAGTTTAACAAACCACTAGGATCTTGATGCAAGGTGTATAAAGCTGGATGTTTTTTCAGTTCTAAGTTGGATTTCAGGTTATAAACATTATGAGCTGTTTTCTTCTGAGAATTAATTGCTGTAGATCTAGACCAGTCTGGTCAGGTAAAAAGCAGCACAGGGTAAGATTGAGAAATGAGAATTTCAGTTAAGCCTCAAAACTCATTAATAAAGTTACAGTCTTAAAAAAAAAAAAAATGTCATACCTACATAATGTATATATGTATGATTTAGATTGTTCTGTATTTCTGGTAATAACTGTGGTTATTGCAGAGAGAACAGTAATTTGTCCAAAGCAAACCATAAATAATTAAGGCCAGGATTTTGACATCGGATCTGTGTGGGTGGATTTTTGCACCCCCGCAGATTCAGTGGCAGGATCAAAGCTGAGGAAAGCCAGAAATACCCTCCGAGTGTGAGCACTGCTGAGGTCCAGCACCTGGCACTCCCTGCGCGGGGACGGCTCTGCTTTCACTGCCACCCTGCCAGCCCCGGGCCTGGGAGAGCAGCACAGCAGCACATTCCTGTCCCACCCCGCCCACAGCAGCCAATTCCTACCCCATCCCTCTCTCCCAGTCGTGGGGCAGAGACAAGGAGACACAGAGCTGGCTCCGAGTTTCACTTCCTCGCATAATTCTAATAAAATCAGTTTAACCTAAACCCCTCCTCCCAAGCCATATATCAAGCTTATATTATAAGTGGTTTGGGGGTTTTTTTTGACTTCCTAAAAACCAATGTTTGTTTTTATTTCAGCTGTTTTGAAAGCCATCAGAGAAAAACTACACCCCCCCTTGCTAGTGGTGCTGGTATGGGGCAGGGGCAGAGGAAGTTGTGGACAGCTGATGATGACAACTGGCCAAGAGCTGCCCAGCAACCAACCTCCCACTTGTGGGCAGAATCCCAGAGAACTGCCAGGTTCACCCCCGTGAACAGATCCCCAAAGGCCGGGCAAGGAGGGAGCACAGCTCCCTGTCACTGCCCTGGCCCCCTCCCGAGAGCCCGCCATGGGCACCTTGCAGTGACAGCAGCACATCTGCCAGCTCTGAACCCTGGGCAGCACAATTCACTGCTCTCTACACATCTCAGAGTTGCTGACTTGCCTTTTTTCTTCTAGAAATCTGGGGGAAAACCCCTGGTGATCTCTTGGACAAGTCCTGGGCACCTTGCTTTTCCTCCTGTGCGCTGTCTGTAAGGGAGGTCTGTGTCCAGTGGGATTTAGGTGGGTGACGAGCAGCTCCTTTCAGCTCAAACATCTCTGTCAAACACCCTCACTGCCCTTGATATGAGTGAACTCACTACAGTAACACTGGAAAATCTTGACTTCCACCATCACTGAAACACAGCTCCCACTCATATGGAATAAAAGGGAGAACACTATGGCCAACATCATGTACAGAATTGGCCTAGATGATGTCCCTCAGCTGCCTCCATTTGTGGGAGAAATTCAAAGCTGATCAACAATTCAGCTGATTTCCACGGCAACAGGATTTCAACTCATGAATCAAAATTGCACGAGGGCCAAAAATGCCAAACAGATTATAAAAATATTTTTCCACACTGGGATTCTCAAAGTAAGAGGCAAATAGTTAAACAGAATAGAAATAACGAATTCAGAAGGGACTGACTTTTCATCATCTTTTTGTTGCACAGGGCGTGTCCACCTCGTGTCTGTGCACTTACATGTTTTGAATATTTCATTAAATGCCCTAAATATCAACACATTTTCATGATTTCAATATCTCCAGCAACTTTTAAGCAGAAAGTGCCTCTATGTGGAGAAGACATATCAGTGTTTAGTTCAACATCTCACCACAGGCCACGCACGATCTGGACTTAAACTTTGCTCAAATTTCATGTAGGGGAACAGTTAAATGTATTTTTACTGTGTTTCCCAGTGGAAACATTATCAATAGCATTCTCTGCTTCAGAATTATCACTTCTCCTGAATACCCACAAGAAGTGTGTGATTATTCCCCCGGAACACACTGGGAGTATGTGGTTTCTCTAAGCAAACAAGGCTCACTGTTGTACTTTTCTCTTTGCAGTAACTGAGGCTCTTGCAATAAAACCTGCAGTAACATTTAACATTGGCAGTGCCAAAGCTATGTAAGAATCAGAGTATTTTGTAATTCTCAGTATTTCACTGACAGAGGTTTTACAGTCCTGTTTCAGTTTACACAATTTCTCATAATCTAACAAAACAAACCCAAAAGTGCAAATATCCAGTTCAGCTCCAAGGATACAAAACAGCGTGTGGTGTTCTGCATTAGACCATAACTGATGAATTTGTTAATATCTTACTGTCTAGAAGAGCTTTTTCAGACAGCATAACTTGGAGAAATTTTAAATTCTCTATAAATACTGTGCAGTGTTATGGACATGATACACCTCAGATTTTAAAGATATGAAAACGAGAAAAAGTTTGGCAACTTTGTTTTTCAGCTCTTAAAATAATGAACAGATTCATTTTCAAACTGAAGAATGTAAAAACAATTACTTCAACAGCTTTACCTGAAATTACCAGGAGTCCTTCCATTCCATCTTATGACAATTTTATCCACCACACAGGTGGTGGTTTGTTAATTTGGTTTTTTCTTCCAAATATCTTTATTATTTGGTCAGCTCTTTAAGACAGTTGAATATTTATCCATTAACTTTTCAGTTTTGTGCCCAATTTTCTTTTTGAATAAAGCACGTGCACTGTGGATATATACTGAAATCTAAAAGAATACTTCAGAACTGTGTATTTGTCCTGCTGGGTTTTATTTATTCTTTCTATATAACCCTGGGTTTAAGAAACCTTCAAAGCACTTCCAAAATAAAACAGCAATGTTATGTGTAACTTTGTAAGCCAAGGAATCAGGGTTTCCTAAAGATAGCTTCTAATGAAACTCAGGGGGTTTTTTACACCACCTTTACTGATGCAATTACATTTAATCACTTTTAACAGTCGAGATTTTTAGCAGCTAGATGAAGTATACTGGATTAGCTTAATAGCCATATCTTTCTCACACTTTTTAAAACCTGTTTTTCTTTCCATTGAAGCAGAGAGCTAGGGGATTGGAAACTTCCAGTGACTCTTTTGTAGACTAAAGTGGTTTAACTGTGTCTGCTCATATAAGAAGACAACTCTAATTCTCACGGGTCAAGAAAGAGAACAAACAAAATCTACATTCCCTCTCTACATTAGCCAGAAGCACGTATTCTCAGAAAGGAAACGGGACAGAAAACATTAGCTGCTGTACCAAAATATACAGGCATAAAATAAAATCATTCTGGAAATTTGAGACCCAAATCTCTTCAAAGTTTTATGAAAAAGAGAGCCCACGCATTTAGAACTAAACTGGATGAATCCATCACTTGACTCAATACCCCAAGGAAAATGTGGCACATAGTATATTAAGTTAATAAAAAACAAACAAATGTACAGCTAATAAGTCTGAAAATTCAAACCTTAAGTTCCTTATTATGAAAGCCACAAGTGACTTTCTAGGCAGGACTACTCAAACCACTATGCTGCATCCCTTGGGACAAACAAGTTTTCCTTCTCATCTTCTTTGCTGCTTTTGTACTGATGCATAAAGATTCAGTTGTCTGGGGCCCAACCACTTTCAGGCAGCTTTGAGCAGTCACCAGCCTAGTGATGAGATGACCATACGTGATGAAAGGACAAGGTTAACTCGCAGTTTCGGAGTTAGCGTTGGTGTTTCATGTGCCACATGATGAATAACAACATGAGAGGCCCCTATTCTTCTGAAAAATAATTGGCTTTTCTTTAGAGAACGGCGTAGAGAAACAAAAAAAAAATGGGGTAACATTCAGGTCACGCTCAGACAGATTAACTTCCTGGTGCCTCTTTCAAACATTATCTTCCTGCTTCTCCTCTCTTGGAAGTGCAGACAGGTCACCCCAGCTTTCCTTTGACAGTTCTGCTTTTCATGCAACATTTGGTGACTGAGCAGAGGTTGCTAACCCAGAGACACCTAAAGGCTGGCAGCTTGATTTCATATTCCTTCAGACATGCTGAGCTCCAGAACAGCCTGCTGCTTCCTGTTCTGCTGAGACAGAGCAGGTTTCCACCTTGCTGCTGCCCCACCACACCTGGCTGGGCGCTTTTCCTTCTGCCTCCTCTCTCCCTGCCGAGGAGGGAGAGCCCGCGAGGCGTCAGCCAGACACCACAGTCCTGCTGCTCAGTGAACCCTGGTGGCCCTGTTCCCAGCAGCCCCAAATGGCACTCCCCTTTTGTGCCCTGCTCTCAGATTCATCCCTCCCAAGCCCAGCTCTTCCCTGTCTCCTGGACTCATTCTAAGCACAGCCTGTGTCCTGTAAGAGCGGCCGCTGTTTTGCTCCTTTCCCTGGACAGTTCAGCTGCTCTTGTTCTTTGATTCATTCCTTTAGGGCTGGATGTCTTTTTTTTTCAGCAATTCCTCCTATAAACTGGAATCACATGTCCCACAAATGATCCTGTCTCTAATTAGGAGATCTTTTATGTCTCTAACGTACATGTGCACGCCAGAACTTTCTGCAGTACAATGCAAGCATCTATGCTCTTCTCTATTTCTTGCTTTTGGGATTTAGAGAAAAGTATTCCTCTGCTGCCTTCTGTACATTCTCCTCAAATATTTTCCCCAGCTCTTTCAGGGTTTGTATATTCATTCCTGGCAATTTTATTTCACTCTTCTGTTTTATCCTGTGAAAACGTAAAGCTGTACCTTCATTCTGTCATTTTTATTCCCTTTGTCAGGCTCATATACAGACACAGTTCTTCCACATGCGCCTCAAATCTTCCTGGCCTGGCAGTTTTGCATTCCGAGGGGTCTGGTTCCTTGCAGGGGGTTACTCTGCCCATTTCTTGGTGCTATTAATCAGATTTTTTCCTGTCTGTGGGTCTCTGGGCCTGCTGGATGTTAACCACGTTTCTGAGTACAGTATGTCAGGTAAATAACATGAAGGCTCCATATTTTTGCAGTGAACTTTAATATGGGTATTTAGAGAGCTCTACTACCTGCAATACATGGATATTTCAATCAGCTACAATGAGAGTAAAATATCCAATGTTTCAAACTATGCTCCTCTTTCCAAGTTCCAGTTGGGTTGCCACAGCCACTGTGATGGGAGGTTGTTCTCTCAAGCTTGGCAGACACCTCCAAATCTCGCACACTATTCTCCCTCACCTCCCTCCTGCCTCAGCAGTGCCTTTCTCTTCCTAGACTTCCAAGGGCCGTGTTTAGGAAAACTACAACATCCTCTAGCGGCACGTTTCCTAAGAAGAAGTGATGGTGTCAGTCAGTCCCAACTGCAGATAAACACTGTTGCTTGAAAACTTCTGGAAGCAATGCTTGAACCTAACAAATCACCTGGCAGAACGATTTTTCTCCTCTGAAGCACAGCTCCTCAACTCCATAGCAGACACAACCTGTCTCTCCATTAATTCATGCCTCTAAGAGCTTCTAAGCTCCATGAGCTGAAGGGAAATGATGTTTTAATCAAGTACATAAGCTGTGAAGAAGCCCGAGGCTGTGCTCTGGGAAGATGCTAAAGCCTGCAGGAGCAGAGTCCTGCAGAGCCCCTGGCTGTCCCAGGCTCAGGAGCTCCACTGAGTGCCCTCCAGGGATGCACTGGCCTGGCATCACGGTGCTCCCCGATGCTGGGGGGCAGGAGGGCACTGAGATCCACAGCACAGGCAGCGCTTCCATGGGGGTCCCACACGGCCCCAGGGCTGACGCAGCCCCCTCAGGGCACTTCAAAGCACTAACAGCTCCTTGAGAGCCTTGAGGAGAGCAAGGGAAAGTCCTGCAAACAAAGAGGCCCGGCTGGAAATGGCTCCGTGAGGGCACCACTTGGCCCCAGAGAAACCATTGAGCCCCAGCAGCCAAGGACCCTCCCGTCCAGCTGCTCCTCTCCCGGCACAGAGGTGCTGGGCTTCAATCTGCCACTGCCTCTCCGGGGGGCTCAGCCAGAGCAAGGTTTGAGAGCAAAGAGTTGGGGCTGGTGCAGGCCCTTCTTTTCGCAAATGCGACTTTAAGGCTTAATGTAATTGTTGCTAAAAATAAGGTAATAGAAGGGTTCCGGTCCTGCACTATAATGAACTGCAGGCTCAATTGTTTGAAGAAGGAAAATTACATTGATGCGACTGGATCAAAGACAAACAAAAAATCAGTTATTTCCTCTTGAGGGTAAAAATTTTAGGAGGCTCATGCTTTTTCAAGCAGCCCTTACTGCAGTTTAGAGGCAGAGGGATCTTGTAGTCAGATTTAATTTATTAACAAAACAACAAGAAAAAAAAGAGAAGTGGGCACATGAAAACTCCAGTGCCCGAAAACACTCAAAGAAAACCAAATGTAGCAGTTCCTACGACAAAGTGGAACACGTGCCCAAGCTTGCTTTGTTTCAGAAATGAGCTGCTGCACAGACAAGGGAACAGCATTACCAACAGTTACAACTGCCTGCCATCCCCAGGCAGGAAACCTCCCACTAAACTTCAGAGGCACCACCATTTTTAATTCCTTGCCAACTTATACACTTGTCACGACTGCTGGGATGCCAACCATTTCATGACAGAATCCAAACAGCAGGAATTTTTAATCCAGGGAATAGTCAGGGCAAGTTATGTCAGTCCCAGCGCCTCATTCCAGAGCTTGAGAATAATATATTGCACAGTTGGTACATTTAAATCTAAAATACATTTAAAAATATTTATTCTTTCATGCTCTTTTTCAGTAATTAATTGTTTATTGTTATTGTTATCAGTTTACTAAATCTGAACTTTGTGGACACACCATTTCCTTGTCCAGTGATACTCCAGAGAACTGAAATTCTAAATAAAAAGAAGAGCAGAGAGGCCAGATAAGTGCTTGAACCCGGTTTTGTAGATGTCTGCCCTGATAATGCCAACCATCTCAGGAGGCCCAGCCTTGCCTGGGATTTGTGAAGCTCTTCCAAAGAGAGCTGAGTGTTCAAATGGCACTGTCCCCTTCCTGGACTCATGGCTCACCAACCCAGTTAAGGTCTGTGTACAAGGGAATCTGCTTTCTGCAGCTCAGGGAAAAAAACAAATTCCACACAACCAAAACCTCTTTCTTTACCTCAACACATCCAAATAACTTGGCAGAAAATTACCGGGCACGGGGCCAGCCTTTGCCCTCGGCTGGGTTTGAGAACACCACACTCCTTGGGCCAGAACTGACAAATCAGGAGTAAGCAAACCACGTTGGATCCTGTGCTTGCATCTGATTTTAAAATGCCTCAATTCTCACTTTGCAACAGGTAATACAAGGCCAGATTTACTGATTTCTCTTTCTATTTCTGTCTGGAGCAATGCAGCATCAGCTGCCAGAGTCACTGCACACACCCAGGACATGGGAAGCACGGGAGAACGGCTCTTCCTCCCTCTGAGAGTATCCAGAGCAAGTGTATTTGAAAGAAGGTTTACTGAGTATTAAAATACTTCTAAAGTATGAGTCAAAAAATTCTCACGTGAATACGTGAGAACCAACAGAATGAGAGAACAGTCAGAAGAGTATTCAAGGTTTGTTAGTGAAGACACAAAGGTCAGGTTTTTTCCAAAATAAAGTATATTATTACTGAGAAAGTTGTGTATCAACACACCAATAAAAAGAGAAGCTAGTATTTTTGTATACATTGAAGATGTTCTCACTACGAATTTATTTGAATTAACTAGTTGTTGCAATATCATTGGGTGTTACCTGATTTTACTGTTAACTGTGTTTCTTCTTCAAAAAATGAACTTCAGCCTGCAGAGACTTTAACCTTAACAAGTCTTCGTATATTAGAGTTCTTGGAATAGACCACTTCCTTAAAAATACATGAGGATCAAGTTTTAGAAGATTTTAATTTAGTTTCTGATCTTGAAATTTATTCTGAGGTCAAGTCCTAAAGAGATATATGTATTACTAGACTTATGTATGTCAGAGGTAGCAATAATAACTCACTGTTTTCTTAATAAGAACAACCACCTCTTAACTGATTTCTCTCTCTCAACTTTTTATAAGAAGATTCTTATGGTGAGCTGTTTATGTTTTAAATTCAGTATAAAATATATGGACACCCAAATCTCAGTTTTTCAGCACCACTGGCACACAATGAAAGACATAAAAAAAGACAGAAATGAGCAAAGGGGTAACATTTCCTCAACAGAAGTTATCTTTCTGTATAGTTATTTAAGGCCTTGAAAGTCCCAACCCTCAGGTACCTTTTCAGCAGATCTGCACAGCCCCAGACTGGCATCCCCAGGTGAAAGCATGAGATAAATGGGCTTTACAGCCAACAAATGCTGGCTTGGACCAAGCTGTGAGAGGAATCCAATCATGGACCTCAAGGGCCCTCAGAGAAACTGGGATCGTGGCAACTCTCTCTGACCCACCAGTGACCCCCTAGGACTGACATTTCAGCTGATCTCCACTGCCTCAGAGCTGACACAAAAGATGCACAACTCCCGAAGTTAAAAGGTCTGTCACACACGAGGCTTTGCCCCCAGACACAGGCAATGCAAGCCACTTTACATATTTATACACATGTATGCAACACATATATTCACCCACATACATGCTTCCTATGCAAAACAAAATAATATCCCCCCGCGCCAGGATTCCTGGGAGGGTTTTTCACGTTCCTGATGCAATGCACAGGGGGACCATGCAGGCTACAGAGCAGCACGAGGGCTCCATCCCCAGTGCTGATTTACACGAGTCACTGCCAGAAATAAGCCACTGATGTCATGGTTACATAAGGCTCTGCCTGTGTTCCTCCATGCCTCTGGTGCTCTGGGGTGCACAGTGTGGTACCAGTGCCCAGCCATCGCTCCCATCCTCCAGCATTTGGAGGGAGAGCAGACAAGGGAAACATGCATGCTTTGCCTGTCCTGCAAAGGCACACATCATGGGAGGATAGGGGATAACCAGAGTTAACACATAAATAAACCTCCATGCTGTTAATTCCCCCACACTCATTACTGACTCCTATGCATTCTACCACAAATATTCTCTTTGATGCTAACAAGAAAGAGGAGCTGCAAAGGCTGCAAGAACACTTCTGCTTGTTACTGTCTTACTTGCGAACTTGTCTGACTATAAACTATAAATGTAAAATAATTCTTTGTATGGCCTGGCCAAACTCCTAAGGCTATAAAGCGAGCTTTCCATTATTTGTCATCAGCAGCACTTTATACTGCCCTGAATGTGAACCCCTGCACCACTAATGGCTGTGCCCAGCACTTAGAAAGCAAGGTTTCTGGTGTGAATTTTAGTTATATCTAGGACTTGAAACAGAAGCAGGAGAAAAGGAGTCCTGTATAATAGAACATACTGATAGCCTCTGGAAAATGCTCCATGCAAAATCCTATGACCACAGTGATGGAGAAGGGATCCTGATGACACCCTAACCACCTGTACTACATTGACAGAGCAATTAGGAAATACAGTGGAAGAATTTAATTCACCAAATGTAAGAGAATGAATACCACTGCTGAATGCAAAACAAAACCACTAAGGACAAGGCAATGGCATTAACTGAACACAGTGCAAATATTGCAGCTATTTCTCAGGAGCTAACCAGGCCAAAATACATTGTCCTACTCAGCAGTTCCTGCTTGTCCTGCTTACACTATCACTTATTTTTCATAGTTAAACATTTCTGTACTTTGACATATATTTTCAAAAGAATAAAGAAAATATAATATCAGCTTTCATTTTTAAATACTAAGCAATTCCTTCAAACATATATATATATATATATATAATTCAATCCTGGTAGTAAACTTAGACTTATTCTTTCTGCTTTGATTACTTAAACAAATATTGCATTGAAATTTTCTCACATGCCATTCCTCCTACAGACATCTCAGCAGAGAGATCAGTGCACACACAGGATCTTCTCTGCCCTAGAATTACACCTTCGCATCAGCTTCTGCTTTACAGCTAAGTTGTTTGCTCTTTGTCTCTAAAACTTACCGCAAGTTTCAGAAGATTCTTCCAGGAGTCCTGCAGACAGTGGGGTAGAAAACTTCTCCTTGGTGATTTTCACTGTGCATTTTGAATGACAGTTCAGACGAGGGAGAGCTTTTTTGGTGTTAAATTAATTCTTCTGCTGTAAATTTCATACTTCTGACAGGGCGACTACACCCAGGCTGCTAGGCTGCAAAAATAATTAAAAAAAACAACTTTCACCATGCAGAAATATGCAAATATGTATCAACTGAAGCACAAAATGTCTGTCAGGGTTTTCTTTTCTCTGCTTTTGTAACTCTGGGGCAGCATATCAATATTAGCTGTGAAAGAAAGGCTGCCTGAACACTGCATTTAGATCTTGAACACGCTAAGAGGTGTGTACACCAGTGAGCGTCTAGAAGTTGGACTTTCACAAAAACAGTCATTTTTTTAACTGGGTCCTATGTTGGAGCATAGGCAGGGAAGAACGAGACATTTTTTGTGCACACATTTTAACCTGGCAAGGGCAGCAATTCTCAAACAGTTCCCCAGACAGCGACTCTGTTCTTCTCGTGTCCTTTTCCTGCTCGATGCTCCCCTCTCGCAGTCCCCGAGCCGTGAGATCGCGCTGCGCGGAGCGACGCCCTTAGTGCGGAGCCTGCAGTGTCCCTGCAGGAGCAGCAGCACACACACACCCCCCCAATACAAACCCCGGGGATCCCTGCCCTCCCCGCGGCCGCCGGGAGCGGGGCACGGCGGCACTGCCGCGGGTGCCAGCGCTGGGCAAGGACACCGCCTGCCCCTGGGCTGGCCGGGCGCGGAGCCCGCACCGCACGAGCACAGCGGAGCGAGCGATGCTCCGCGACAGCGCTGACATCAGCGCCTCTCCAGCACCTTCGGGAACGTTCAGTACAAAGTTTGTCTGGCAGGCAGAGCGACGGTGGCGCAGGCAGTGGTGGCACCTCACTTGGTAACTGCACAGCCTGAGCCTTCCCTGAGCACGCTGTGGCTGTCCAGGAAGCCGGAGATGGAGCCCACACTGCAACCCCATCAATGGCTGCAGAACTATCTCAGCAGCCACGGGCCTCCCCCGGGAGCTCAGCCCGGCACAAACCCACCCTGCAGCGCTGAGGGCTGTGCCCGGCGCTCCCCAGGGACTCACCCCCCCAATACAAATCCACCCTGCAGCGCTGAGGGCTGTGCCCGGCGCTCCCCAGGGTCTCCCCCCACAGGCAGTGTGGATGTGCAAACC